GGTCATGGCCCCTTCCTCCCTCCCCTGCAAACTGCTGATTAAGGAAATTTGTAGCTGCAATTATTGTAAAGAAATGCATCTTCAAAGTAAAAGTTATCTGTAGAATATGCAAATGTTGTAAACAGTAATCAGGGGTGGGAATAATTATATTCAGTATATAGCTATTAATATTCATTGCATGGGCATTTATATTACTCAGTAAGGTTTTGGGGGTGTTGTAGTAAATGTAGTTATTTACATATTAACTTAGATAAAAGGAGTGTGCTGTAACCAATTCAGTGCTTACTCGACAATTTAGTTGAGGGGAACAAGTACCGCAATAAAGAAGCCCGTTTACACAATTCGCCTCTGTGTCCTCCTGCTCTCTCTAACCTTTAGAAGGTAACATGTTCTATCATCTAGGTCTGACCAGAGGATAGTGTCCCATCCTGGAAGATGATGATCTGGGCTCAGTTGTACAAACGTCAGTCATTTTGCAGCTGGCCTACAGCAATGTGATCCACCTGAAAATGAAGATGTAAGCCCTCAGGAAACTTCGACTAGTACAGAATGAAGCTGCCTATCACAGCAACACAGGCTATCGTGAGTACATCAAACCTGTCTTCTGCTCAATACGCTGTCTTCCCATAGAACAATAAATGAAGTTTAAGGTCTCAGTACTTACCTTCTATGGTTTGACCCAAGGATACCTAGAAGAATGCCTAAAGCTCCAGGTTGAGGACAGCAGTTATAAGAACAGACATACTAGAATACATCTAGCCCAGTATCCTGTCTTCCGACAGTGGCCAATGCCAGGTGCTTCAGAGGGAATGAGCAGAACAGGTAATCATCAAGTGATCCATCCCCTGCCACCCATTCCCAGCTTCTGACAAACAGAGGCTAGGGACACCAGTCAACAGATCCACTCCTTCGGCACAATGGAACTGTCTACAGCGAGGGTAAACTCGCCTGTGCAGGAGGCTGGAGCTGGTCCAAGACTGCTGAACAAACTTACATTGGAAATAAAAACTACCACAAGCCTTACCACCATGCAAAGTGCACTTCTTCAATCTGCCTTCTATAAAACACTTAGCACAGTGCATATATAATTACAAAAAAACCACCCCATACACTATGCTAAAATAACATTAAAGTTGTGAAGTCAAATGCTCAAAAGGTAGGATATAATAGAATTAAGGTTGCCTGTGCAATCTCATTGCTGAGCTTAATTGAGCCCCCTTGTGCATATTCATTACAGAAGCTTCCCGACTTACGCAAGCGTTCCGTTCCAGAACGCCTTGCGTAAGTCGAATTTTGCATAAGTTGGGAACATATCTCTAACAATTATGCCCAAAAAAAAAAAAACCAACTTGCGGGATTTACAGAACTTTTTCCGTAAATCCGTTTTCCGTAAATCGGGTTTGTGTAACCCAGGGAGCGTCTGTATTATTATGTGAGGATTTGTACTGGCACCAGTGCTGTTCAACAGATTCATAAGTGATCTGGAAAAGGGAGTAAACAGCAAGGTAGCAAAGTTTGAAGATGATACAAAATTACTCAAGATAATTAAATCCAAAGCTGACTGGAAAGAGTTACAAAGGGATCCCAGAAAAATGGGCTGCAGGGCAACAAAATGGCAGATGAAATTCAGTGTTGATAAATGCAAAATAATGCACATTGGAAAACATAACCCCAATCATACATGTAAAATGATGAGGTCTAAATTACCTCTTACTACTCAAGAAAGATCTTGGAGTCATTGTGGCTAGTTCTCTGAAAACATCTGTTCAATGTGAAGCGACAGTCCAAAAAAAAAAAAGAAAAATGTTAGGAACCATTAGGAAAGGGATAGATAAGACAGAAAATATAAATATAAATCCAGGATATGTCCACACCTTGAATAATGCCTGCAGTTCTGGTTGCCCCATCTCAGAAAGATACATTAAAATTGGAAAATGTAGAGAGAAAGGCAACAAAAATGATTAAGGGTATGGAACTGCTTCCACATGAGAAAAGATTAAAAAGACTGATCGTTCAGCTTGGAAAAGAGATAACTAAGGGGGGGATAGGATAGAGGTCTATACAATCATGAATGGTATGGAGAAAGTAAATAAGGAAGTGTGATTTACCCTTTCACACAACACATGAACCAAGGGTCACTCAACAAAATTAATAGGCAGCAGACTTAAAACAAACATAAGGAAACACTGTTTCACACTACAGACAGTCAACTTGTGGAACTCATTGCCAGGGGATGTTGTGAAGGCCAAAAGTATAACTGGGTTCAAAAAAGAATTAGATAAGTTATTGGAAGACAGGTTCATCAATGGCTATTAGCTAAGAAGGTCAGGGACACAACGCCATGCTCTGGGTATCTCTAAACCTCTGACTGCCAGCAGCTGGGACTGGATGACAGGGGATGGATCACTTGATAATTGCCCAGTTCTGTTCATTCCTTCTGAAGCATCTGGCACCAGCCACTGTTGGAAAACAGGATACTGGTTTACATGGACCATTGGTCTGACCCTCTATGAACATTCTTATGTTCTTCAAGCCATTTTGAGAAAAAAAATGACAAAAAGAAAAATGAAGTATGGAAGTGCTCATTATACCAGGTCACATTATTTAGTGTTAAATGATGAAGAGGACAGGTCTCTAATAGAGAGGGATCTGTATTGCTTGGTGAACTGGGCACAGGAAAACAATATATGTTTCAAAACAGTCAAATGTAAAGTTATAAAATGAATGTAGACCATTCTTACAGAATGGGGGACTCTATCCTGGGAATCAGTGACTCCAAAAAGGATTTGGGGGTGAGGATGGACAATCAGCTGTACATGAACTTCCAGTGTAAAGCTGTGGCCAAAAGGACTACTTCAATGCTTGGATTCCCAGGGAAAACTTAAGTAGGGAGTCTATATTACCATTGTATTTGGGACTGGTGCAATCACAACTGGAATATTGTGTCTAGTTCTGGTATCCGTAATTGTTTCAAGAAGTTGATAAATTGGAGAAGGTTCAAAGAAGAGCCAGGAGATTGATTAGAGGTTTAGAAAACACACTTTATAGTGATAGGTACCAGGAGCTCAATTTATTTAGCTTAACAAAAGAGAAGGTTAAGGAGTGACATGATCACAATCTGTAAGTACCTACATGGAGAACAAAAATTTGATAATGGGCTCATCAGTCTACTAGACTAAGGTATAGCAAGATTCAACTACTAGAAGTTGAAGGTAGACAAATTCAGACTAGAAATAAGGCATATATATATATATATATTTTTTTTTTAAAAACAGTGAAGGTAGCTAACCATTGGAACATCTTACCAAGGGCTGTGGTAGATTCTCCATCATCACAATTTTTAAATCAACATTGACTATTTTTCTATAAAGATATACTCGTGTTCAAAAGGAAGTATTTCAATGAAGTCCTATGGCCTGAGTTATACAGGAGGTCAGACTAGATGATCGCAATGGTACTTTTTGGCCTTAAAAATCTATGAGACAGTTTTAAATCACAATTTTTCTTCCTTATTACCCAGACTCCTAGCATTTGTATAAAAGCAACTGAATTTTTTCCCCCTTCACATTCTTTCCCACCTCATCTCAATATATTCACAATACCTTGAGCTTGAGTGATATATTTAAGCATTTGTAGTGCAACTGCCTTCTTAGCATCTTCTCCTGGAATTCCTAGTTTAACACACTCCTACCTGCTCCAACTGGTCTTCAGAGATTAGCCCACCTACTTCTGTGTTGCTGGCAGTCCTATTTGTTCAGGTCCTTCTCCCACTGGAATGTGACCCAATGTTTCACAAAACTGAAACCTTCAGTTTCATATCACCCACATAGATAATGGTACACCTCCACTAATTTCTGCCTTCTGCCGTCCCTCATTTATGGGAATGGAAGGATCTCCGAGAGATGACTTGGAATTTTTCTTCTTCACAACACTTCCAAAACAAATGAGTCTTTGGTCCAGCGGTTACAGCACTAGCTTAGGATTTAGGAGATGTGTGTTCAAATCCCTGCTCCACCAACCATATCCTGGGTAACCTCGGGCATATCACTTAACCGCTCAGCTCCCCACCTGTGAAATGGGGATAAAAGCATTTCTTTACCTTCCAGGAGTGTTTTAAGGATAAATACATTAATGACTGTGAGGTGCGCAGATACTACAGTAATGGGGGCTATAAAAGTACCAAAGGCTGACATCCCTGAAGTTTTCAATAATCTTTGTACTTCCATGTGATGCTGTCCATCATGTATTCTAATGTGTATCATCACCAGGAGACTTGCCAGCCAACTTCAGATCCCCATCCAATCTTACAGTTATATTTCATGTCTTTGTTCCAGGGAAGCTACACATCATCCTGCTGAATTCTCTGTCCATTCGTCTTAATATGGAATCACTGATGATGGTTGCTTGTCATTTTAGAACAGTTAAAAACCTCTTGGACATCCTTACCAGTAAGAAGCAAGCAGCTACCCCCTGTAACTTTGTTCCATTCCTTCTGTAGTTGCCTCACTGAGTATTGCAATTCAATACTTCTAGAAGAGCTGAATGCCTCCTGTTTCTCTTTCCTCTGTTGTTCGCAAGTTGCCAGTCATCTTCTTTAGTTTCTACACTCTTATGTTCCTTCTTCACCAATCCTTCCCCAGTAGAATTGGTGGCAAAAATTCCCAAATCTTGTTGTCCAATAAGTCTTTGCCATCTCAGTTAGTATGCAGCATTGATACTGGTGATTCCAGATCATATATCATCTCAGCCAGCATCTCCACCAACTTACAATTCCTATATAAGAAATCTTTGCTGTCTTCCGGCATGTAGGAAAACAAAGCACATCCACCATAGGTCATTATGACTGTTCCATTTTTGGCCACATCTGCTGCATGGGGTAGCACTGTACCTAAACAGAAAGAAACCACACTCCCTACCTGTAACTCCCAAACTGATGATGATGCAGCAGGCTGAAAGACAACAGCAAGAGACACAGAACCAGGATTCCCCCACCACAACACTACCTGGTTTTCTAGATGCCGTTCCTGATTTCTTCACCAGTGAAGCTGGTTTGGAACCTTTCTGAGCTGCAGCTTTTCCTGCTGCTTTCCTGTCACTCATTTCCCTGAAACAGAATAGAGGCCAGCAGGTTTCTTATTAACTTTAAAGCACTAATGAGCTCAGCTTTGCATGAGCCAAGAGATAGCAACTGCTTTGGTCCTGCAAACACAAATGCATGTGAGTAGCCCCAATAAATTCAATAGGGTTACTTGAGTGTGTCTGCAGTATCAGGCCCACTTGTGGCATGGATGTGGGGGGAAGGAGAAATTAAGTCTGGTGCTAAGAAACCTCAGCATCTTTGTTGGATATTTTGGTCCCTGTCCCCTAACGGTTTTCAAAAACATTTTCAAAGTAGTTTAGAACCTAAGAGAATTTTCATCTGAAAAAATTCCAGATGTGTAGTGAAGAATACATCTCAGTAATGTAGAGGTTTAAAAAAAATTACAAGAATGCTATACTTCTAAAAAAAAAAACCTAGACATTTCAGAATTAAGGCTAAATTTAAACATTTGACAATATAGAAGTGTAATTAAGGCACCCAAACTATCTTAACTTTATCCATCTTTTTATTACAGTACTGCCCATGGCTCCCAGGCAAGATCCCAGAATGACATCCTTAGAAAAACAACAAGGAGTCCAGTGGCACCTTGAAGACGAACAGATGAGAAGTGAGGTTTGTTACCCACGAAAGCTTGTGGCCAGATAAATCTGTTCGTCTTTAAGGCGCCACCAGACTCCTCGTTGTTTTTGTGGCTACAGACTGACACGGCTACTCCCTGGTCCTCAGAAAACCTGCAGAGAAAACAGATACAACCTCATCCATCTTACACAGCTTCGGACACCCGTGACCAGCACGGGAAGCAGTGGTGCCAACGGGCTTTCCGCTCACTCCTAGGGAGACAAATACCGACGTGCCCGTGGTCCTTCCCCTCCTCGCTCGCCCCGGCATCCCCCGCTCCGCCTCCCGACCGACCTCCCGCTTCCCCGCCTCTGACCTACCCGGCAGCGCCGCGGGCCCGACCCGCTGTTCCGGGGTCGCGCCCGCCCGGCTGAGCCCGCGCCGCTCCAGCTCTCGGGGCCTCGCCCGTAACGGCAGCCGCCCCCAACCGTCACCAGGCAACGGCGACGCCGGAAGCGCACGCGTTCCCCTCCGGAACTGAAAGGGCGCGCCTGACCCCCACACGTCACGCCCCAGTTGGTGAAGTGACCGCCACAGAACAGAACCCCGCCCACTTCCTGTAGCGTCAGGGCCGAACAATACCCCCTCTACCTCCCGCCAGGCTTCCCGGCTCCACCAATCCCCGCTCCGGTACCAGCCCCTCTGTCCCTCCCCCCCGCCAGGCTTCCCGGCTCCACCAATCCCCGCTCCGGTACCAGCCCCTCT